CGCCGCTGATCACCAGATAAAATGATGATGATGATGATGATGATGAAGATAATGATGATGATGAAGAAGATGATGAAGATGACGAAGATATTGATGACGAAAATGACAAACGATGCAACATGGTTGGTGAGATGACAAAGATAATAATTATATCAATCAATCAATCAATCAATCAATCAATCAATCAATCAATCAATCAATCAATCAATCAATCAATCAATCAATCAATCAATCAATCATTATTCAATCGATCATAATGCCAAATGATGGATGAAAGATAGAATGAAAAATGAATAGATAGATGGACAAATGAATGAACAAATAAATGAATGATTGAATGAACGAACTTTAACAGTTCCCAGATCCATGGGCCTCAGTATAACTTCGTGATAATCTTCTAAGCCCAACAATTCAGCATCAACTGGCTGGTAGAAGGGCCAGGCGTACCCCTGAAAATGATGATGACGATGTGATGATGACGTCGTTGATGACAATAAGAAGATAATGATGACATGATGGCGATGATGCAGATGATGGCACGAGTAAAATATATAGGACACTAACAGCATGCTTCTTCGAAAAAAGTTCTTTTAAGATTTCCTCACAATACTCAATGGCAGTGCCTTTGTAGTCGTCAGGATTGAAATCATTGCGGATTTTGCATGTGATGTTGTTGCCATCAACACTGTTGTTGTTGTTGCTGCTGTTGCTGCTGCTGTTGTTGTTGCTGTTGTTGTTGTTGCTGCTGCTGTTGTTGTTGCTGACGTTTGTTCTATTTGCACTTGCTGGAAATAATGTGGAGGAGGGAAAATTTTTTGATGACTCAACAGGCGCAACAGTTGCAGTTTTTCTTAATTTCGGTTGTGTTGGCTGTTGTTGTTGTTGCATGGATGAGAACAAGGTATCATGTTGTTGCGGTTGTTGCTGGTGAGATGAATTTGTTGAGGCTGGAGATGACTTATGTTGCTGCTGTGCTAGGTCAGACGACACTGAGGTGGGTTGCTGTTGTTGAGTTGAAGAATTTGTTGCCACAGCTGATGTTGTGGTAGTTGCTGCTGAGGTGGTAGCTGCTGCTGCTGCTGTTGTTGATGATGATGATGACAAGGGTGTATCTGCTTTCCTTTTGCTTGTTTTTCTTGACTAGGTTTTTGGGTGATGGTTACATTTACAATAAGCAAAAGAAATAACAAGGATAAAAAAAAATAACAACAACAACAAAAATAATAATAAATATAATAATAATAATAATAATAATAATAATAATAATAATAATGATAAAGATCATAAGAAAAGGTATGAAACAATAACAAAAAAATTGAAACTCATTCCCCACCAACAGTACAGGCAACGTGGATGACAACGAATTAAAAATACTATATCACTCACATCATTAATTAATCCTGTTAGCTCAGATGATGAGGCAGTATGGTTAAATTTGTATAATTTACAAGAAAAAAGTTGTGCGGAGACACCAGGTTTGAATCTAAGGAGGATCTAAATTGTCATGCGTGCGTAAGTGCACAAGTAACTATTCTCGCAAACTCTAGTACACTTAGATAGCACTGCAGACAGACAAATAACTAGTAAATGTATGAATGAATCAATAAATTTGAATGATTAGATACTCTTACAAAAAATTAAACAAAAATTAAGTAAAACAGAAGAATGAAATTGTAGAGGTCAAGGTGAAAGTTCAACCAACCTTGGTGGCTTTGCCAGTTTCGGCAGGAAGAGTTTTGGATGGTGGTGATGGAGAAGATGATGATGATGATGATGCTGGCTGGCCAGATGGTGATGACGATGGCTGCACCATTGCTTTTGCTGCTGCAGTTTCATTGGCAGGCAATGATGACGTTAAGACAGGGGGTGGTGAGGAAGTTGTCGTTGTCGACGACATCAACAAGTTGTTAATGTACTCATAGTTGTTGTCATCAGAGTTGTTGTTTGTTGCATTGTTGTTGTTAGCGTTGTTGTTGTTGTGTAGATCAGGTTTCATATCAACATTAGCATCATCTTTAACCGACTGACTAGATTTGTAATCTTGACTTTTGCTGCTGCCGCTGTTGCTGTTCTCCACTTTCAATTGTTTGTTGTTTTGCGTCGTTTTTGAATTCGCGTCGTTGTTGTTAGCACTAGTTGTTTTTAGATCTTGCTTGATGGGAGTTGAGTTATTTGACGTAACTGACGACATTGCAGACGATGACCATTTAATACTATTGTTGTTGTTGGTGGTGGTGCTGTTGTTGTTTTGACTCATTTTGGTTTTTTTTACAGGGGGCTGGTCGATGATTTCCTAATTTGCATTAAAAAAAAATTTTTTCATAGATTCTTTTTATATTTAAAGATTAATGCAAATTCTTTTTTAACCATTCTTGAAATTTAAAAAAAATTTTATCTTAAATTGTTTTAAAACAGATTATACATATCTTTCTTTAAACATTATACACAAATTTATACAATATCCAAATAAAAACACTACTACTAAATCAATATTTTAAAAAAATATTATTTTACTTTGAAAAAAAAACTCAAAAAATAAAACCTCAAAAAACAAAATTCACCAGTATCAAGTATTTCTGAATAAAAGATTCTACCAGCTGAATATAATAATCTTGCCAATGAAATGATTTCTAATTAACCTATCACCACACCAATATCTGTTAAGTGCTGAAAAGGACATACAATCTCCCTCCCACCCTCTCTCTCTCTCTCTCTCTCCTCTCTTTCTCTCTCTCTCTCTCCCTCTCTTTATCACACACACCCCATACAATCTAATCTCACACACACCACATACACAGACACACACGTGTATGTATATGCGCATTTAAAAAATAATATGCTACATTAGAAACATAACAGTAATATTAATAAAATTATGTTGTAACTTATATGCAAAGATCAAAACTAAATAAGATTTATAATATATTGCATACAATATATTGCATTGTCATTAATAATATAATAACAATAATAATTAAATTATTAATAATACTATCTCAATACTAATACTAGAACCAATAGTTAAAACAATGGCAACAATTATATGATAATAAAACATATATGTATAATGATATCTTAAGATACAACAAGAGACAAAATAAGGAGTGTTTGATACAGTATCAATTTTGTTTAACATATTATGAAATATAAAGTATATCAAATAATGAAATGTGCATAATATAAATATTTAACATCATATTTACATGCATATAACATTAACCATATCATTAAGAATAGTAATTAGTAATATATTAATACATACATACATACAGACACACACACACAAACACACACACACACACACATACAAACACAGAGTTTTTTTCACTATAGAATCAATGTATTCAAAATTCTATACAAAAGGCAAGTAAGGTCTTGTATTTGTTGAACCTTATCATATAGACAGTATTGATATAACATATCACCATTGTGTTACATAATAGCACCACGCAGCCCAAATTAAGATAGATAGATAGATACATAACAAGACTGATACATAACAGATATCCAATACACATAAAGACACTATCATTTGGTTATAATTATAATAACAATACTACAAAATCAAGAGTTTTTTGTATCTCATTAATTATATATATTATCTTTCAATTAAATTTTAAAAGGGTTAAAATTGAATGGGTCATTATAAATAACAGAGAACAAAACTTAATAATGGCAATAGTTGAATGGGCCTTACCATAGTTATAGTGTAATTAATATTCCACAGCAATTACTTACAAATGTTTATGAAAAAACCTCTTCAAAATTCAACAAGTTAGTAGTAGTGGTGAACTCAACTAAAACAGATTAATAGGTTAACACAATCAATAAAATTTAAAAAACAAACAGAGTAAAAAAAATAATAACCAAATATAAAAATTAAAATTCAATGGAATAACCTTCAATTCAACACAGCATCATGCGTGCATGAGGTAACAAGAAGCAATTCAATAACTCCAAACATAAGAGTGAAAATATACAGGACCATAAAGGGCCATAAACATTTAGGGGCTTAGACAGATAGAGGCATTAGTACATACAGATGGGTCTCACCCTTTGCACATGGTAAAATACCCCAGAGTGTAAAAATGAAATTATAAAGTCACATGAAGTTTGATCAAATAAACTAATTGAATAACATATAGCAATGAAAGATTTCATATGCACTGCTCCGAGGTATCAACTAAGACATAAAGACACGTATACGCACGCACACACACACACACACACACACACACACACGCACACAGCAAATGATATTACTAGTAAATCAATGTATTTAAAACTCTCAACACAAAAGTGAAGGTGTTGTTGTGCATTTGAAGCTGATTCCCACTGCATGGAAACAGACACTTGACTAACCATCACTGAAACAAAGAGCAATTTTTCAAAAAATTAAAAAAAAGTTCACTAACATCTTTTGGCATCCCGGCCAACTTGTTGATGAATAACTTCTCCAGAGCCTGGCACATCACCACAATGTCCTAACCAGCGGGAATAGTTTAAAAGTAAAACTAAATACAAAAACTTGTATTGATAAATATTTATAAGTGCAAGAATATAGAAACTAAAGTTGTTCTTTGAGGCCTGGTTCAAACCCAGACCTGACCCACATCTAAGACATCACATAACTCATGTTGTTTAGTAGTTAAATGTGTGTGTGTGTGTGTGTGCGTGCGTGTGTGATCTGAATAATTTTTTAAAAAGTAGTCTACAACAATTAAGAATTGCATAACTGAATTAACATTAATCATATGATGGTTGTAATAAAGATGATGATAACAAAGCATAAAACAACATGTAAACTGATGATGATGAGATTGTTACATACAAGTAAACGTTGTGAACATCACAGACACACACACACACACGCACACACACAGACTCACAAATTCGTTAGCACTTCTATTCTAAGAAACATTATATTAACTGAATGAAATATGTGATATTATGCATGTTTGTTAGCTAGTTAGGCTGGTAACTAATTAGTTTGATACAAAAGTTTTCAAAATCAAATATTGAAATTATGGATATGTACGAAATTTCGTAAAGCAAAACGTTTTAAATGGCAACTATATACATGTGCACAAACATGAATGGTGCTTTTGAAATTGATTGAGTATGAAAAACAGAGGCGCAGGGAAAAATGTCAACAATTTTTCATCCTATTGGGTTAAATCAAATAATTTGCCATGCAATAAACAATTATTTGTTATCATATGGAATGATATAAAATGATGATGGTAAAATGACCTTTGTAATACGAGAATCCACAAATTTTAAAATAACTTGAAATATGTACAATATAATAAAAATTTTGAAAAAAAGTGGAGTATTAGCTTTAATCGATTGAAAGCTGCCAAAAAATAAGGCTATTGTAGGCATATATTCGAGTGACCACTTATCTGAGCCACCAGTTTGTTAGCTATGAATGGTTTCAGCCTACATGAATATGCAGACCAAATGATAACTTGAAAAATTACTAGAGATCATTTTAGAGAATATGAAAGTGATAAATTGGAAATATAAACTTCAAACTTCATCTGAATTATATGTTCATTATGTTGTGTGATAGGCATAATCAAATCGAAAAGGGCGAAAAATTATATTTTTTTTATTTATTTCCTCTGTCGGTTGTCTCCAGCCAATAAGGTCATAATGACTTGTTGCCATCCGTCAAAATGGACAAAAAATTACGAGCTATAAAATCTATGATTAAATTAGTATCGCTAGTCAGCAAGCCAAGCTAAGCTGAGTCATACCAAATCGACTCCTAATAACATAACAAAAGCAGGACCGACCACATAATGGCTTGGACTTAACATAGCTAAGCCTACAGCATTGCATGATAAAAATTATAAAGACGACACAAGATAAAATGTAGATAATACAGGATAAAAATGGAAATGATATATGACAAAAAGATACACAAAGATATACATAGTTCCTACCTCTCCTGGCTTGTTATACGTGTAGCAGTTTGTGAACATTTGATTAAAATCTCTAATGCAGTCCTGTGCTGATTTATAAAAGTTTGACTCCAATCTTTTCTTTATGGTTCCCATGTCCATCGGGTGTTTTATAATTTTATAATAATCCTGGAAAAATTATTTATTTTAAGATTATTATTATTATTTCGATTTATTTATTATTTATTTATTATCTATTATTTTTATCTCAATAATTTTTTATATTTGAATAAATATAATGTTAATATGTAATGACGAAATGCGGTAGAATGTCACATTAGTACCAAGATGGCTTTTTAACTTGGGAAGGAGTTTAATAAGAATGGTCTAGTCATTCTTTAAAAGTGAAATAAAATGCAAAATGAAAGGTTTTGTAGATTTATATTAACGCGGCTAATAAAGTTGACTTAATGAGTTTGATTGGGCAATAAAATATTTTAAAAAATGTTTTAGATTGTTTAAAAATTTCAAATAAACCATTACAAATATTTTAACTTTAAAAACTAAATCTCCTCACACCTAAAAACCATTTTGTAAACAATAGCGATAAGGTACCAATATCTAACATTACATTCCACCACGAAACGTCAATTATTGTATTTTACTTACTGGTAAATTAAGCTTTTTGTCGTCGACTGGCTGATGAAATGGCCAAGCAAACTGGTGCTTCCATAATGCTTTCAGGACAATCTTTTGTAAGTATTTCAGTTGATTAGTGCTCTGATTGTTCATTGCTACTCTGGGGTCTGCACCGGATTTCTGTGACTGACTATCGCTAAAGCTATTTAAACTGTCATCGCCTCCGCTGTCCATGCCATTCACTGATGACATCTGCTTCTTTGATAAACTTGACATGACTAACTTAACTAACCATTGGAAAGGTGAAATTTTATATTTAGAGTAAGAAAATAATAGAAATATTACAAAAATTGTGCAAAAATTTAGACTCAAACTTCATATTGAATGAATGATTACATTACAGGTTATGTTTGAAAATCTAATTTTATTAAAAATGCATTTTTTATAACTATTTCGAAAATGTGCGGTCTTTTTCGGGATTATTCGGCCAACAATTAATTAATTAATTAATATGAATTAATTATTATTTAGTATTTTTAGTTTAAAAATTAATAACGAAATTGATCGGAGCAAAAACTGATAAAAGCAAGTGCGAAAATTAAAATAAAAAAAATTTTCAGCCATTACAAACCTTGAATTGATAAATCGAAAGTTTAAAAATTCATTTTAAGCGATTAATCCATCGATTTTTAACATTTTATATTATATAAATTAATCCAAAAATACTTTGTTGACAATTAACATAAAGTGCACGAAGCCAAATTTACGAAGTCGACATTAAATATCTTGCAAATAATTCCAAGAGTTTTTATACAATTTTATGTTCAAAAATCGCATTTTAATGTTATCTAAATGCATAAGTTATTTTTATAACTTTGTGTAAAAATTGGTCAAACATCGTTTTTTAAAATATTCATTTATTAAAAAATTGGACCGCAAAAATTGAACCTACGTATTACCGTTTATGTATATATAAATTATTAAGGTAACATAACATGTGTTATAAGAGCAGCGATGAAAGTTGGTAACAAGATGACTAGTTTTGTTGAAATAAAGAAAAGTGTTAGGCAAGGCTGTGTGTTCTCTTCAGACATATACAATCTCTATAGTGAGATCATCATGAGAAAGATAGAATATCTACCAGAAATATCCATTGGAAGCGTGAATATGAACAATGTAAGATATGCTGATGATACAGCTCTTATAGCAGATTCAATAAAAAAACTGCAAACAATTGTTTCCAAACTGGTTTTTGAAAGTGAAAGGAAAGGCTTGCAAATTAACATCAACAAAACAGAGTGCATGGTTATCAGTAAAAGCAAAACCGCCCCGATCTGCTCCATAATCATTGATGGTTAACTTGTGAAACAAGTCAACGGCTTCAATTATCTCGGAAATTTGATTACCTCAGGTTGTAAATGCAATATGGATATCAAAAGAAGGATAGCTATGGCGAAAGAAAGATGCATATTCTAAAATGAAAAACATCCTCACCAACAGTAAAATCAGAAATTCAACAAAATTAAAACTGTTATGGTGTTACATTATTTTTGTGCTAACTTACGGCTCTGGGTTCTGAACAATTCCAAAAAAATTGGAAAAAAAATATTAATGCTGCTGAGATGTGGTTTTTGAGAAAAATTATGAAAATTAGTTGGGCCCATATATATGGAATATAACATACTCTCTCTCTCTCTCTCTCTCTCTATATATATATATATATATATATATGTATATATATATATATATATATATATATATATATATATATATATATAGTTGGACCTCTCATACTTTGAATGAGGATGCATTAAAACAGTCCGGTTATGAAAAGAGGAAATTACTACAGATAATCCGACGGGGGCAGTTAAAGTTTTTTGGTCACATCATGCCGAAGGAAAGAATGGAAAATCTAACAACTACTGGAAAGATTGCAGGGTAATGAGATCGCGGTCAACAACGAATAACATTCATGAAGTCTTTATGTCACTTGTTGAATATCACCGCATTTCAACTACAACAAAGTGTCAAAGACCAGGTTTTGTCCTGAAAGGATAAGGCGCGAGAAAGAAAAATAGAAAGAATATGTGTTATATTTACTGTGAAAAGTTTGGAATTGAACTAAATTAAATCCTAAAAGTTGACTAGAAAGATTCAAGTAACAACCATTACCTAATGATCACTTACAATCAATATTTGTATGTCAATGAAGTATATAAAGGGAAGAATGAGAAACAAAAATTATTAGTGATCAGCAGTCTAGATCAGGGGTGGGCCTAGCCTAGCCTGGCCTCGCCTAGATGATAGAAGCGCGACGCCACAAACAACATAAAGATACTGGATAAATCTATACAATTTAACGTGAAAATTCATATTTAAACATTAGATATTACCATTTTTAATCTCCTTAAATTTTACTAGTTAACATTACTCGAAGAATAAGTTAGAACGTTTCGTAATGCATCAAAGCAAGTTCACCTTAGTCGAGGATAATTCGAATACCCCGATGTTGTTTGACTAAGTAACAATCCCAAATTCGAGTGTGTGCGTCTATGTATGTATGTGTGTGTGTATGTGTATGTATGCATGTGTTGTGTGTATGTATGTATGTATGTGTGTATGTACGTGTGTATATAAATACAAACTAATTAAAATATGTAATCTTAGAATTATTTCCTAATCTCCATAATCATCGCCTTCATCGCTGCATCAAATTGTATAATTATTATAATTGATTGAGTTTTACTCGTTGATTTACCGACGCCAATCTACGCGCAGTTGTGGAAAGTTGATTGCTCTTTCATCTTTCTCACTTCTTCATTCACTCATTCACACCTCTCTCTGTCTTTTCATTCATTCATTCATTCGTTTGTTTGTTCGTTCGTTCTTTAGTTCATTCGTTCAATCATTCAATCATTTCCTCATTCATTCATTCGTTCATTCGTTCGTTCGTTCGTTCGTTTGTTGTTCTTTTGTTTATTCATTCAATCATTCAATAATTCACTCATTCACTCAGTCGTTTCTTGTTCAATCGTTCAGCATCGATCCTATAATATCTCTAATACTCATTAAATGGCCAACTAATACCATTGAGGAGCACTTTATAAAGTGTGTCCATGTCGTCGTCGTTGTTCTACTACTACTACTATTACTACTACAACTACTACTACTACTACCACACTACTACTATTGCTACTGCTACTGCTGCTACTTCCACTACTACTATTGTTTCTACTACTTCTACTGCTATTTTTACTTCTACTACTACCACTACTACTGCTACTGTTACTACAAATGCTTTCATTGCTACTTACTATCACACAGAAGTTTGCTGTTTGTTTGTGCATGCATGACTGTAAATGTTTGACGCTCACTCGATAACAACCAGCAACAAAAAAACATGAAAGATGTCAATTATATAATTGAGGTTGTTGTTTGTTTGTCTTGCTCTGTTTTGTTGTTTATGTGGTTGTTTGTATGTGTGTTTGTGGGTGTGTGTCTCTAATTGCGTAGTTGTTGCGTTGTCTGTATGCGATGTTTGTATGTGTGTTTGTTTGTGTGAGTGTGTGTCTGTAATTGTGTAGTTGTTGTGTTGTTGTATGTGATGTTTGTGTGTGTTTGCGTGTGTGTGTAATTGTTTAGTAGTTGTGTTGTTGTATGTATGTGATGTTGTAGTTTCATAGATATTAAGGTGTTTTATAAGAAAATTTCAAGTTAGAGTTTAAAAGTTATTTGTCCTACAAAGCATTTAACCACAATTCAATCTTGAGGAATTACAATAGAAAGAATAACAACAATATTAATACTAACAACAATTATATATATTTATTTTATGTAATATATGTATATCGTAATAATTATTATATTTTTCTTGCATACTCTGCGTTGTTGTCTCACAGATTAAAAGTTTGTTGTTCTGCTGTTGCTGCTGTTGTTGTTGTTGAAGTTGCCTGTGTTTAGCGGATAAGTAGCATTGATTTGTCACACTCGTTCAGTTTGATGGTGATGGCGAAGATGACGATAATGACGATGATGATAATGATGGTGATGAGGATAATGGCGACGATGATGATAATGATGATGATTACGATGATGAAGAAGAAGAAGATGATGATGATAGTGTTAGAAAACGAAAGTGATGGTAATGGAGTTGATGTTTGAGATGATGATATGTATATCCCGAAGTAAAATTCGAACATTTTTCGTAACTAACTAGTATCCATGACAACAGTAAGAACAAAAAACATCAACAACAACAACTACAACAACGACAAAATCAACAAAAACAACAGCAACAACAACAATTACAGCAACAAATTACAATACTCACTACTATTAACTGTTGTTCGTTCCAAGTTTAAATGACCCAACAGCAACTTAACGACAGCATTTGAAGTCATACTGATTAGCTTTTGAAATCATACAGATATCTCAAACTGCTTTCATAATCTTATTAAAATAATATTAATAATAATAGTAATAGTAATAGTAATAATAATAATAATAATAATAATAATAATAATAATAATAATAATAATAATAATAATAATGAATAATAATAATAATAATAATAATAATAATAACAACAACAACAATGGTAAAATAATTATTAAGTATCCATAATTAAGTAGTAGCTATCCTGTATTGTTTTGTGTTTGATGTAATGCTGTGATACGGAAATTGTGTGATGTTTTATACATAAACCACCATTCATAAAGTTACACACACACACACACACACACACACACACACACACCACACAGAGAGAGGGAGAGAGAGAGAGAGGGAGAGAAAGGGAGAGAAAGAGGAGAGAGAGAGAGAAACAAACCCACACATTAAAATTATTAAACAGATAATCATTAGAGTATAATAATAATTAAAACCCATTACATAACACTTACTACTCAAGACCATAGTCAGAATTTTGATTCGGAGAGCCCTTCGGAAGTTATTGTTAACAGAAAACAATGGAAATGTTATGAAAATAAAATAAATTAGATTTTCTTAATTATTTGTAAATTTTATCCTACCAGCCAAAATGAAATATCATAACAATTATTATATAAATAAATTTAAATTGTGGGATTTTCGGATTAAATTATTCAAAAATTATTCATAGTTCACCCGTTAAAACAAAACATATGCTTAACGAAAAGAAAATTCAAAACGTTGAAACGTGATTCATTTTAACAGCTACTTGAGGAGTTTTTAATTTTTTTTTAATTTTTAAAAGTTATTCAACATTTGACATAATCAATCAAAGGTGTATGGGTGCCTGGGAATGGTTGTCACCACAATTTGTTAGCGTTTCAATGGAAGATTTTGATTTATTGTAAGATTGTTTACAATTTTTGTACCTGCAAAGACCAACCTTTTAACCCCATGTGGCACGAATGTTTTAGAGATTCATCATCAAAACATGACTATTTTTTTAGAAATTTATAAGGACGGATTATTTTTCAGCCCATAGTTTATATGATCACTTCATATTTCAAATCTATTCATTTTTTTTTACAAAAATTATTTATTCTAAAAATTGTTTAACGTTGATAAAACAAAAATCATTAACATTAATTCCGATAAAATAATATTATCGGTGGCGGATTTAAGGCTGGCAGAGGAGCAGGTGAATGTCGTCAGTCTAATTTTGACCACACCAACAAAAATTTAAACAGTTTTTGGCCACCCGACAAAAATTCAAAATTTTCAAAAATTTTTACTCTTTCCCATAAAGTTATCCTAGACGTTCAAAGAATGAAAATTTGTATAAAAAAAATGGAGCATTGAAATATAAGTTAAATATGAAATGTGATAAATGTTCGAAATTTTACACACCTGTCTTCATCTCCGATTGGATGTGGATTTTCAGTTAGCAATCGATTTTTAGCACTTTTTAATATCACTACTGCTGCTACTACAACTACTGCAGCTACTACAACTACTGCTGCCACTACAACTACTGCTGCCACTACAACTACTGCAGCTGTTGTTGCTGCTGCCGCTGCTACTTCTGCTGCTACTACTTCTACTGCTAATGGTAATCACGATATGAAAACGACACATAGATAACAAATTAAGAGTCACCGAGTTGCGAATTACGTAAGTCTCTTTGATGTTATGTTGCCGTGTTTTATTGATCAATATTATAACATACTGGGATTAGGCGCTTTGTGTGTGTTGTTGTGAGTTTGTTTGAGTATGTGTTGTTATATGTGTGTTTATGTGTGTGTATGTGTTGTATGTGTTTTTTGTGTGCGTTTTTGTATTTGTTTTTGTGTGTATCTCGTTGTTTGTGTTTTGAGGGTGGTGGTGTGATGTTTTTGCTGATGTTTTAATCATTTTTAAATAATAAAATTGAAAAATATAAAGAAATATTTGTTTTATTATTTATTAATGAAATAATTACTATTCCTTCACTCAATTTTTAGCATCCATTTACCATCCCCCTTCAATGTTGTCTGGAAGCTCTGCTGGGTGTCCAAGGAATGAGAATTTATAAATCATCATCAGCGTCATCATTATCACCAGGTTACTATGTTCATTGTTGTGGTTAATTAGCTAACTGAACACCATGCTAACTACAACAACAACAACAACAACAAAAACAACAACAACACAACAACAACATCAACATCAACTACTACGACTTTTACTACTTCTATTACTACTACTACTACAATAACAACAACAACAACAACAACACAACAACAACCAACAACAACAACATCAACTACTACGACTTCTACTACTTCTATCACTACTACTACTACAATAACAACAACAGCAACAACGACAATAACAACAGCAATTACTGCTACTACTATTACTACTACTACTACCACTACAGCTTCTATTATTACTACTACTGCAACTACTACTATTACTTTTACTACAACTATAACTATTATTACAACTATTACACTACAAATATTACTACTACAGTACTAATACTACAATAACAGATTAGTTATAATTCTACTCTTAACTTAAATAATAAAATTACTCTAATACTATCAACTATAATACTAAAGACAAATCTGAAGATGATTTCGTTGTTTATGCAATGATGATTATTATTAGCTAAACAAATTAAATCATCCAATGGCATAGCGTCCTTCCACTTAGGGGCGTTTCTATTGGTCGAGATTTGTTACTATAAATAAACTTCACGATGACGTAACAAACATCTATTTATAAGTTTTTTGAGAGTTTAAATTTCATTTTTTAAAATGTATTAAGATCATTTGGAATCGTTTATTAGAAATTATTTAGGTTATCTATTTATAAAATTTTGTTAAGATTCAATTTGGTTAGTTAAGGTGAGTTTTGGTTTAAATATGTTTAATAAAATATAGAAATATCAACCTAAATTAATAAGAAATTTATTAGAAAAATTGTAATTAATCACAAAAGTTTTAAGTTTTGTGTGTGTGGGTGATCACATCAGCATACATACAGCATTTTTTATTGTAATTTTTTGGGAAAATATTTTTTAGATATTCAAATATCGATTTATCCGTGTGTTTAGTTTTATTACTCTATCAATATAAACACATTTATAACACCAAGGAACAACAACATCCACATCAGAATCAACAACAACAACATCAACAGCAACAACAACATCAACAACAACAACAGTAACAACAACAACAGCAACAACATAACAACATCGACATCAACAACGACATCAACAACAATATCAACAACAACATCAACAACAATATCAACGACAACATCATCAAAACCAACAACAACAACAACATCAGCAGCAACAACAATATCAAAAACATCACCAGCATCAACAACAACATCAACAGCAGCAGAAAAATAGGAAAGAGACTGAATAAAGTTTTTGAAACACTACTACGAATATGTCAGAGAGTCGAGAAAAAATTTTCAAACACTGTGACATCAACAGCAACAATGTTAATGACATCATTGACAACAACTTTAGCAACAACATCAACATAAATAACCACATTAACAAAAACAACAACAACATCAAAATCAACACCATCATCAGAGAAAACTGCAAAAGACTCAACCAACTAATCAACAACTCTCACAGGAACTCTCACGTGAGCTCTGATTTCTTCAAAACGAATAAAAATTTCAACGTTGACACAATCATCAACTACAACAACAATAACATAGGCAACGAAAAAAACGAAATCAATACCAGCGACGACATTAACTACAACAATAACACCAACGACAACAACAACGATAACAACAACATCAACTACAACAACGACATCATCAACAACAACAGTAACGAAAACAACAACATCAACGACAAAAACAACAACAAAAACAACGGTAACATCAGCATCAATAGCAACATCAACAAAAACAACAACATCTACGACAACAACAACAACAACGATAACAACAACATCAACATCAACAACAACATTAACAACAACAACAACATCAACTACATCCCAAGAAGCAAGCCATCATGCTGTTTGGTGTGTCACGACAGGGCCTCAGGCAACCACTACGGCGTGTTGACCTGCGATGGTTGCAGAGGATTTTTCAAGAGGAGCGTCCGAAGAAATATGACGTACATCTGCAAGTTTGGAGACCGTTGCAAGATCGACGTGGCCAGGAGGAACCAGTGCCAGGCTTGTCGTTTCAAGAAATGTCTGCAAGTCTCCATGAATAGAGACGGTGAGATTTGAGTGTTTATGTGGACGTGTGTACGCACATGTCTGTAAACGCGTGTGTATGTATGTGTTTGTGTATGTGTGTGTGCATGTGCGTGTGTGTGTGTGGATGTGAGTGAAAGTTGCTTGTTTGTGTTTATACCGGCTTGTCTGTATCTGCATACTTTTGCCTGTGCAAAAGTATGTCTGTGTTTGCAGTATTTTTTATCATCATCATCATCATCTTATATTTTTCTCTGACCATCCCACCATTCAGCCGTGCAGCAACAACGAGATGCCATAAAAACAAATGCATCAAAACGTTCACGAAGCTTCTGGGAAGACGAAGACGGTGAAGATGATAATTTGAAAATGAACATCAAGTCTGAATGTACAGTCCAAAACACGGCATCAAATAACCAAATATTTCCAGCTGAGCCTGATTCCAGTTTGAGGTAGGTCGAAGATTTTCTCTTTGAATTTTTCAACATAGAAAATTTATCGTATGACTAAATTTTAAGATACATTGTGCAATTAAGAGTGTAGTGTCTGATACATTATACAGTTTAAAAACAATTCAATTACTTATTCATTGCCAGTTCCAAAGGGAGTTCAGAAGCAGATTCTTTCAACGAAATTATTTCTGCAGCGGCGACAGCAGCGCCGCGTTGCTATGGCAACTGCTGCCAACCAATCTCTTCACTACAATCTTTCAAAAAACTTCAACTCGTTGATGAACTGGCAAACGTTTTAGTATACTGCATCAAGTGGGCTTGCTACCTGCCTGAGTACCAGAAACTGCCCGTCACTTTGAGGAAGGTGCTGGTTGAGAACTCCTGGGGACAAATGTTTGTCCTCTCCTTGTCTCAGTTTAGACACTGGACCTGGATAGGTCGGCTTTTTTTACTGTAAAATTTGTAAAGTATTTATCAAATGAAAGTTAATGTTTCTGAAACGTATTCAAATTAAATTACCATTCTCTATTAAAAAATCAATCAAACACTGAAATTGCAGTTTATTTAAAAATGATTACCATTAAACGTGTTTATAACATTGAACTGAAAATAAACTGAACTAGCAATAACCACTACATATTAAAAGTTTCACTCAAAAAACTATTTATTATTTTCCACAAAAATTTTAAAAATAAAATTCACCAACAAACAAACTAGAAGAGAGATTGGAATCGCGGAACGGAGGAGTTCTGGAGCATCTGATGAATGCGGTCAAACGTCTGCAGACGATCGCAGTCGACCCATCTGAATTCTTCTGCCTAATGAAGATCTCACTTTTCAAGTCAAGTACGTTTCGTCCATTTCTTAATGCTCAGAGTGTTTTACTAGTTTCATCCAATTTCATAAAACGAATTCAAGTTTACGTCGATAGAAAGTGGTTAAATTTTTAAATTTCTTAGTGCCGTTTTTAGTTTCATTGGATGCAAGTAGGATTGATATAAAATGTAATATCCGATAATCTTGTTCAAGATACTAATTTATTATCGCTATTTTGAGATTTTTAATCGAAATGTTAAAAAATATTTAAATTTTCAATAAACACTCCTTATAAAATCATAGATATTTAAAATGGTTTCAGTTCTTTCAGGAACGTATTTTATTTGTAGACAATGACAAACAGTTGTTGTAAAGATTTATGACTAAACATATTTAAAAAATACCAAAAATTATCAAACAACGAATCTCAAAGGTTACAAAGAACATTGGATGCACCAAGCCACAATAGAGTACCAGAGGCTGGCGGTCATGTTGTTGGAAAGACTGACCCTCTTCAAAAAGCATCCCGCTAGGACTCAACACCTCCTCGTCGAACTTTACAACCTTGCATCGATCACTGACCTCCAGCTCAAAAGTTTATTCAAACTTGCAGACCAGGGAGATAGCGCAGATGTTGTGGATAGTTTAATTAATGAAATTTTGAATAATTGACAGTTATTTTGATTTTTCATATATATTCAATGAAATGAAAAATTGGGTTATGTAAATTAAAAAAATGTACAAACTTAACCGTAATTTAAAAAAAGAATCAAATGAACAGAACAGTTAATATGATTTTTCAAAAATAAAAAAATTTAACAAAACAATATCTGACAGTAAACTAAACGGTATTTTATTTAAATAGCTCACTAGCGTTAAAAATATATGCTATAATATGCTCGTGTATCTTCAACGTAAGAAAAATTTTCCTTCTACGTAAATGGCACCAAGAACGAGGTTCATCCTTCTTTACTTTTCTTTTCACAGAGAGGAATGGGATTAACAATCCTGCTCTCAATCGATTCGAAAATGTGCTCCAACGTCTGATCACCATCAATATCGAAAGCAACATCAGCGTAGAACTCTTTCAATCTCGGTTCTTGAGTCCGATAGCCAGTGAGGTTGTAACATATTTTTTCTGTTTATAAGAAAAATGTTGAAAACATACTTCGATGAAGAAAAAACGTGGCAGTTTTTTCAGAAAATCATGATTTAAAATGGGTTTAACATCAACATGCACAAAATTTATTAATTTTTTTGTTGAAAGTATAAATTTCTGCTGTTTTTATGATTTCACTGCTGCTCAGGCAAAATTTATTTAGCGGTCACGTTTGGCATGAAAGCGCGCATTGATGGAGGCATTAAGAGAGAGCTGCACTTGAAGAGCAAACAGATTTCAAAGAAAACAACGTTCGCGCAAGGCCAACAAGCCAATGTTTAACTAGTCGACAGTGCCAGAAACATAGTTTTCAATCAACAAAAAAAACTATTTTTTCATTTTTTAGTAAACAAGATGGCTAGTTTTGTTGAGAATGAAGTGAATTCGACAGATGAGGCCGTGCATGAAAAACGTAAACCTGGATCGAAGTGTGGAGGGATCTCAAGCCGATCCTTGATCTGTTCGGTGGGTGCTGGATTGTTGATCATGTGGTACATCAGGCCCGTCACAGGATCCATCCTCTGCAACGAAAGTCGCTGAACAATTTTGTCATTTGAGATTCTTATGAAGAACACCCTGTATAACGTTGGCACAATGATAACGAAATCAATCAAAGGCTTCTTCGGCATGTTTAAAGCATCAGCGACAACCAATTGTTGCTTGATACCTACCTGTTGGGTTCATAGTCGGCAGCCTGTAAAAACTGAGCTTGTGGTACGTTGATGGGGTAGCCGCAGATTATCCAACCTTTTGAATGGCGCTCTATCTTATCGAGTTCCTTGTTTATCAAATCAAACATGGCTTCATCCGGTTCTGATAAGAATCGAGATTAAAACTATTTAGTTTTAAACTTTTGATACAAACTTTTCATTATCAAATCGATCACCTATTGCACAGAGCTCCTGGCACAATCGGAACACCTCTCCCAATTTTGTGTTTTTTGCTTTTTCGTTTTCCACGGCCTCTTGATAGATTACTGTAGAAGATCAAATGAACGATAAAATAATAATTCACAGTTTAATATTGTTAGGCATGTTGGGAACTAACTTAGATTGAATTTGTACTTCTCGGCGAGCATTTTGGCCACGACATCATAGCCACTCCCCTGAGGTCCGAATATTAGGATGCGAGGTGTCATCGGAGTGTTTGTGCGTCGCGGCTGACACACAAATTCGTATACTGAAAATTAAAAACCGTCATTTGTAATTGGAATTCTTAAATGGTAGCTGTCAGAATGTATTTGGAGGCGCTGGAAGTCAATAGTATTTAAAAATAATTTTAAATAGGTTCAAATAAGATTAAATATAACATATTTTTATAATTATTTTTACATTACGCGCGATTTGAAGACAACAAAATCTCAGGTTTTAAATCTCAGTAAATTCAAACCACACGTCTAAGGTCTAGGCCTAAAGCTGAACATCCTGCTAACGCACGTTTCTACAAATATTTTTTCAATTAGGTGCCTTCACTATTTTTCCCTAGGCAAAGTTCAAACAAAAGTAGTTTAGAAAAAAATTATGATCGTCAATTAAATTAAAATCGATATCCAAATATATCAATAGTTTGAGTATCCTTGTTTAGCAATATAATTTCATTTCGTATGGGGCTAACTTTCCTTGAAGACATCTTCGACAGGTTGGTCGGCATTGAACTCCTTCAAACTCCACTTATAAGTTTGCTTCAGTCCTTCAACTTTCATACAGAATTCAGAAATAGTCGACAGCTTTGCTTGGATTCCAGGATAAGACAGTGCAACCAAGTAGTCTAGCATGTATTTGGGAGGGGGTCGGAAGACTTTGTTGTATATTTCTGTCAGTTAGGTTTGCAATGTTAAGGTTAGGGTCAAGGATTTTTCTAATTGAATTGCAGGATGATTACAAATCAAAATTATTTACTAGGTAGCATGTAGTTAACATGCAATAAGTAGTAGTACATCTATAACAAATTATAAATAAAAATGATAAAATGAATTGCTGTTTAGATTGCAATTCAATTTTTTTGTTATAAAATTTGTAAGAATGTAAACAGAACTCCCAAAATAGCAAAAATAGCAGAAAACTACATATTGGAAATTAATCTAATTTTCTTGTACCTCCGGTTTCTTCATCGTACAACTTCCCGTGAATTCTCGCCTGCAAAATCTGGTTAGGTGCATCCATCAACACTGTCATGTAAGAAATGTTTGCCAATTTTTTTTTATAATATTATCTACTTTTTCTTTTATTTTACTTTGATTTGAAATTAATTAGACGCAAATATTAAGATGGTTCAGAAATTTTGAAAAAAGGTTGAAGAAATGACAAATATTGATTGAAGGTTTAAAGGGTTAAATAAAGGAGACGGAGATATAATTGAATGAGATGAAAATTGAGAAAAAAGATCAAAAGTTATCATATATTAAATTTACGTTTGTGATCAGTTAACTATTTAATTAAAAAATCAATCAATAAATTTTTAACGTTTTAATGCTGTGTTTAATCGTGGTTTCTAAACTTTTATAAACATAAGGTGTCTGTTTGAACTAAAGCATAATACATAGAGTACACGAGGTAGCTTTTAATTTGGGATTGTAAGTGTTCAAGTCAATTTGTGGTAGAGAAAATGATATCGGATGATGAAATAGCTAACCTGAAATGACTAAAAACCTAAAAATAATCATAAACTGATCCAAATTGGCCGTGAATGTTATTTATAATGACGTAAAAAAACCGGAAAAACAATATTTCTCAAAAGATGCCCAGCTTATGGAACCTGTGTGACTCGGAATGAAGCCAGCCTCGGACAAAATGATTGCTTGCTCTTTTGTCCTTACAATGTTATCCAGAATCCACCCCTTCCTTTTCTCTTCAACTTCGTTTAAACTAAAAATTATATTTCATACAAAATTTTCAAAAGCATTTCGGTCGATTTTGAAACAAACAATAGAAATTTAAGAAGTAAATCGTGGAAATACAGAGAAAAACATACTGATTAACCACAATTCTTCCCCACTCATTAACAGATGTTGGCTCGCTATCCTTAAAGATATTGTCCGATACAACGGGACAGCCATCAAGTTTTTGGCTGAGCAGGCAGGCTATGGTGGACTTACCCACACCGGGCGGGCCGAGAATCAAGATGTGAGGTTCTGCGACGATGTTGTCGCGATCAATAGCAATATTATCTTTTGATATTTTATAAATAACAGCATATCTATGATGCTTAATTTAATAATAAAAACGTTATAATCCAAAACTCCAATTGCAAATACTTATCATATACTCTCTGTTATAGATTGACCTTTAGTTTTTTTTAACTTTTATTATTAATATATACTACCTATATATTACATAGCTATATAGTTATCCAGTATTAGTAGTAATGGTATTGATAGTACTTGTAGTAGTAATAATAATAATAAAAGTAGTAGTAGTGGTAGTACTAGCAGTAGTAGTAGTAATAGTAGTAGTAGTAGTAGTAGTAGTAGTAGTAGCAGTAGTAGTAGTAGTAGCAGTAGTAGTAGTAGTAATAGTAGTAGTAGTAGTAGTAGTAGCAGTAGTAGTAGTAGTAGTAGAAGTAGTAGTAGTAGTAATAACATTACTAGTGGTATATTCTATCCTTATACTAATAATATATACTAAGATACTATATATATATCAAGATAATATACAATCTATTGATCATATTAGTAGATAGATAGAGGTATGCAAACTCAACCTTCAGTCAAATCTTTAAGGAATTCTATGATGAAATCTGCTGGGTTTTCTGGCCTTTTGATTATAAGGGCTGTCAACAGCCGCTGAATTAAAATTTTGATAAAATGTTAAACGCGAGATTAATAATAAAATAACTATCAATAGATTAATAAAGTTTGTTAGATCATGAAAATTCGAATTTAACTTACAACACAACACATAATACTTTCATTTGCTAGTAAAAATAGTACTCATTAAAAATAATTTAATACAAATATCGCTTATTTAAAATAATATAATCAATAAATTAATTATTTAATTAAATTATTTATTGATAGATTGAAAATTTTAAATTTAGTTAAAAAAATAATTAAATTAACTTAAATTTAAATTAAAACCTTGAAAACTTCAAATAAGTTGTGTTTATCGGCATAGCTGGCAAACTCAGGAGGGATTTTCAGTGGTCTTTTAGTGGCATCCATTCTGAGAAAATGGAAAAAGAGGAAATGGAAAAAAGATTTGTTTTAATTTATAATTATTCGTACTAATTTGTGATGAATTGTCTCGTAAACTAAGACACTGAATATTGCCTAAGTGAGCTTTATCACTATGGCTACCGATTTTGAATTTAAACAAGGAGTGCGAATTTTTTTTCATTTTTATTTTAATAAACTTGAAACAATTTCGTACGGCGTGAAGAATTTTAAAGAGACAAACTAATTAATTAATATATTAAAAAATTAATATATTAGTAAATCAGTATATTACATCCATCACATCAGAGATTGACATTAGTCGAAAGATTCTACCACATACCGAACGAAAAAAAATCATCCTAATTTCAAAAATTTTCTTCTTACAATTAAACCATTATAAAATTTCATCAGAAATTCAACCGCAATTAAAATGCTCATACAATATTGTATAAGGAGAAACACGGAGAAACACGCTATATCATTTGTTTGACTTGAATTTAGCTCTTAACGAGGCAAAAATAATCATACAAATTTTATTAATGTAAGCATGTTATTAGTTACAAATCAATATTCCATAGAATAAATACAATAAATAAATTTAATGAAAGTTAATTAATGAAATAAAATAAAATAAAACTATTGCATAACGTCGTTAAATATTTTTTCAACTTTTTCATCGTTCGTATTTGAAGTGAAATCATTGAGCCAGGATTTGAATTTTCTTAATTTTTCACCGATATCAGTCTCTCGGACTCTGCTCAAATGTGTATTAAAATTCAATTCAAGTAATTAAATTAAATAACTTAATCAATCAATCAATCAATCAATCAATCAATCAATCAATCAATCAATCAATCAATCAATCAATCAATCAATCAATCAATCAATCAATCAATCAATCAATCAATCGATCGATCGATCAATCTAATCCAATCAATCAATCAATCAACCAACTAACTAACCAATCAATCAATCAATCAATCAATGATAAATAAATAGATAAACTATCTACTCAAAAAATTGTTAAATGATTCAATATAACCATTTAGTTACATTAACGTCCTACCTCGGGAAACTGGGTCTCTGGACGCTGAACGAAGATTGATTGATTGGTTGATTGATTTTTTAGTTACATTACATTAAAAATTTATATACATAATTCTTACATAAACATACATAATACTCACTTACATAATTCTACTTGGGTTGGACAAAGGACTTCCAATGGGTATAGGCTTAGGTAGGCCTTACAAAAAAATTTAATTCAAATAATTACACCGAAATATATAAAAAAAACATTTATTATGTATTTTATTCCAAGATTTTAAAAAAATTTGACAAAATACCCCCTTATATTTCAAAGAAAACTTAATCTGTACTTTAATCCGAAATATTCAAACAATCAGACAATCAAACCTACCTGGAAAGAATTTGTTCCATTTCTGTTGCATAATAAGATCTACATTGGCGTACCTGTTGTATCTGTCTTGCCTACGAGTTCAATTAACAATGGTATGTTGTTGTTGATGTTGTTGTTGATGATTTTACGTAGTTGTTGTTGTTATGTTGATGTTGTATGGTTGTTTTTTGAAGGTTTAAGTCGAAAAAGATTTTGGTTATTGCAAATTTATTGTGGTCAATTTAGAGTTGAAATACAACAAAAAAAAAATTCATTCCCACAACGTATTTTATTATCATTTCATTGCAGTTACCAAAACTTCACCGGTAGTAAGCTTTTCAGGAGTGTAATGTTGTAATGAACGAAAATAAAAAGTTCAGTAATAAGTTATTTATTTTCGGCGCAATAGTGTAAGGATTAAGAGCGTCTGACTTGCTTCGTAGTGACCGGCTTCAAATTCAAAGAAATCCCCACCTATCATACACAACGTGTGTATGTTTTATGGGTTGATTCGTGCGCAGGTACTATCGTCGAACGATGCGTCCTTGCTTGAATGAATAACAATGAGTAAGATGTTTGCATAACATGATCGCACGCGCGCACACACACACACTTACACACACACACTTACACACACATATACACACACACACATATACACACACATATAAACGCGCACAAAAAAAAACAATAAATACATACAGAGATCGGCCCGCAAACTGGTATTCAAGGGTAGCATGATTATAAACTGAATCGTCAGTTAACTTAAGAAGAATGTTATTGTTACGTGGGAATCCTAATTTTTCTTCGATGTTTTTTATTGAATTACTCAACTTTTCTAATAAGTCTGACGTTTGCATGTTGTTGGTGTTGTTGTCCACCTGCTGGTCGCTGTTTGAGAGGTTGTCGTATATAACTGTGGGGTTGTTTTTGCTGCTGCTGCTGTTGTTGTTGTTTGCAAGATATTGAGTTTCTTTGTCCGTTGTTGCTTTTACTGAATTTTTGAAAAGTAGAAATTTATTTGATTTAATTTTTTAATTATTTAATTCCAATATTCAATACTTGATGAAGTTTTCCTTCCCTTCCGTTTTGATTTGCGCTGATGATATGACGATGATGATGGTGAAGTTGATGGTGAAGTTGTAGACGTTCCATCATCGTCGTCGTCGTCTCCGTCATCTTCCAAATTGTCAGAACTTGAATGGTTAAGATCGCTTACCTGATATCATTTAGTAAATTAACTTGTTTTAATAAATCTAAACACTCTATCACTATTCCTTTATTATCTTATCTGATTCTAAAACTCTTGATGTTTCTCACAAGTTTCGTAGTTTAGGCTTTATTTTTGATTCTAGAATGTCTCTTTCTTTTCAGATTAATAGTGTTGCTAGATATTCTTACTTTCATCTACGTAGAATAAAAAAACTTGTGCCTTTTCATGACGATCCTACTCTTTTTCTTCTTGTTACTTCGTTAGTCTGATTTAGGATTGATTGTTTAAACTCGCTCTACTATGGTCTTCCTGATTCTACACTCTATCCTTTAAGTAAAGCTTTTAACTGCTCCTCTAGTTGCTCGTACCCCTTTCTTTTCTCATATATCTATATATCTTGTTCTCTTGCACTGGCTACTTATAAAATATAGAATAATTTTTAAACTTTGCACAATTATGTATAAGTCTCAATCTAAGTTATTTCCTAAATACTTATCAGATATATTAATTGAACCTAAACGCGCCGGTTTACGATCGTCTTCTTTTACTCACTTCTTCTTAACTCGTGTTAAACACTCTTTTGCAAAATCTGCATATGCTTTTTCTGGCTAAAAATGAAATAAAATTATCAAAAATATTCCTGTAAAACAGCCCTAATTCAGTATATTAGAATGTGAAAATTCCAAAGCAAATCACATTTGCATGTGAATTTTATTACAAACTAATTAATTACTAATACTATTTTTACTCCAAGTGGTCCATCAGATCCGTCGACTTCATCTTCATCGTATCCTATTTCATCAAAGGTCTTTTTAATATCTTTCAACCAATCTTTGGTCGATATATCTACAATGGGTGATTCAGTTATCCAAAAAAACTGAAATTATTATTTGGAGGAATTGATGTTTTTAAACATTCAACTTTCTAATCGCAAAGAGTAAAACCATAATCCTATAAATTCATTCATAACGATATATGACCATTAAAAATGTTATTGAAAATTTTAAAGTTATTGACACTTTACAAGAAAAACATAAAAAATCATTTAAAAATTCTAACGCACCATTAATCCGATGCAGTTTATTTGAGGGATTATTGAATCGCTGTTAAAAACATTAAGATAGTTACAAAGTTAAAATTCATTCTTAAAAAATCGTTATTGATACGAAACCAGACAAAACAAACAAAATTTTGAGTGAAAACCCACATTACAAAACTAAATTGCAACACAAAACGAAACATACAAAACACTCATACATGCATACATACATACAATTACAACAGCATACAAAACCCGAAACAGTAACAAAGTAACAACCTGTTTAATTAGCCAAGAAAATTGTATAATAGCCAGCAGTTAATAATTTTTTAGGTGGCTTATGCTTATTGGAAATTTATTATTTTTGATGAATTTGTTTTGAAAAAGGTTTTTATTGTTTTACTTAATTATTTGTTAATTTATTTTCTTTAAATGTTTTCATATTTATTTCATTAAGAATTTTAGTTAAACCAGGTAATATCGCACACAAAAGTTAATTTATTTATATAATAATTATTGGTACAAAAAACTAGCGCCAATAAGAAATAAGTCAAAATTTGTTTAAAATGTGAATAAAATTTTAATATGTACAATGTACAAACGTACAAACACAAAATGTTATCTAAATGACGTATTCGTAAAAATTTGAACTAATTTACAATAAAAATTGGCAAAAGTTAACAATGGCTCAAAAATATCTGAACTTATTCACTAAAAGTTTTCGAATTCATTGAAGTAGAGGCATTTGGAAGCTTCATCCACTTTAGTTTCATCACATGCCTCAAAGTTTGATGTGTCCATTGAATGCTTCATTGACGGAATAAAAGATGAAGGCAATTTCTTTTTCAGCAGTTTGAACCAGTCCATTTTTGAGAACCAGGGGTGATTTTTGATATCATCAGAACTATTACTTTGACATCCAATTCTGTTGACTGGATTCTTTACCAAGAGGCTCCTTACTAAATCGTCAAATTGTTTGCCATAAGACAATGCAATTTTATTTCATCCTGTAAGATTTTCTTGAAGATATCATCATGTGAATCACCTGTGAATGGTACAGAGCCTGTCCTCATTTCAAACAGCAGGATACCGAATGACCACCAGTCAACAGAGCAGTCGTAGTATCCACCTTTCAACATCTCCGGTGCAATAAAATCCGGTGTTCCGCAAATTGAATTTGTACAGCTGGATCTTTACGAAAATCCCAAATCAGATAATTTCAAATATCCTTTTGAGTCTATTAAAATATTTTTCGGCTTCAAATCGCGGTAAATTATACCGACTTTATGTAAAAAATCTAGAGCAAGAAATATCTGAGCTCCGTAGAATCGAGCAACTTTTTCATCAAATTTGTTCTGGAGTCGTAGCCTTGTATGCAGTTCGCCTCCCGCACAGTAATCCATCACTATAAACAGATTAGCATTATCGCAAAAATGGTGTTTAGCATTTACAATGAATGGATGATCTATAGATCGAAGAAAATTTTTCTCCTCAACAGTGCTTTCCACCGTGTTTGATTCAACAATCTGATGCTTTCTTAAAATCTTGATTGCATATACTTTTCTATTTAAGTAACATCTTGTCACATTCCAACTTTTTTGCATAATTTGTGATAAATATTGTCACATATTTTGAAACTAATGTTTCAAAATCAATTTCTGATTGCTTTTTACTGCGCTTTTTAAAAATAGGCTTGAAAACCGTTGAAACCCCACATCCTTTGTTTCGAGCAACTTCTTCACAGATCGGTGATTCACCAGCAGCAGCTACGTCAAAATTTGAAGACGGTTGCAACACCACCGAGTCAGAAACTGGCGGCGTCGTCAAATCATGTTTGCGTCTACTTGAAAAAATCAGTGATAACGATGACCTGACGTTACACGATGTGGCAGTCGAAAAGCTTGCAGTATCAATTTTTGTTAGCATTTGATCAGTTGACGGTCCTTCCTGTTTATTTCCTCCATTCGTCTTCCTAATAAACTGGATGAGTTTGTTCATCTTTATTATTACTGTTCGTACGATGACCGTAAAATGACTAAATTAATTAAATTTCAAGAGTGTCTTGAATGATTTCAGAACAATTGAAACGGAAGAATTGTTTTCGCACTGATTCTCTCTACCTTATATATCCAAATGTAATCTGATACGCAAGTATTCCTTTGAATTCGCTGCCTTTATTAGTTGAAATTATAACTTTGCGTGAGTTGTATTGGCGTTTGTTTCAATTTTTCATGTTGGAAGTTCCTTTACTTTGGCGATTTTTAAATAACTTCAGATTAAGTCAGAGGAGATTATTTTATGAAATTTATTCAATTAAAGTTTTTTATTTGTAGCTTATAATTTCAAATAAAGAAATTGTTTTGATTTTAAATGAGATATACTAAAAATCTTTGAAGTAGTATCCTTAAAAAAACATCGTCGTCGAAAATGTTTCGTGAAGCTCAAGCCGGCAATAAGGCATTTGACAGTTGGTTATTACCGTTTAAGGTAATGTAACCAATATTAAAAAAACATCACAACCACAACAACATTGGATGTCGCGATAGTTTAACGGTAAAGTGTCTGACACTGCTTGTGCAGTAACCGGATTCGATCGCTAAGAGATCCCCGCTTATCATATGCAATGTGTGTGTGAGTGTGTGTGTGTGTGATGCGTTGGTTCACGTGTATTTACATGCGCTGTGTGTCTGCTGTTGTTGGTGCATCTGTAAAATACTGAAGAGAAAATTGTATTAAATGAATAGAAACCTAATAAACTAAATTAACACATAAAATCCATCAAAACAACAACAACATACAATCTAAAACAACCACAACAACATCAACCATAAAACATCAACAACAACACACGTCACGACCATATCAACATCAACAAAACCTTATTCTTCCTTAAACGTTTTTTCTCCCTCCTGATAAACATCGACGCTCTAAACAACAAATCATCACTCGTATATATGATACCATTCCTGGAATGATAACATCATTAATTTTTATGTTAACGTAATGAGGTTATAATTAAATAATTAAATAATAATTAATAAATAATAACAAAAAAATAATACTAAACTATGAATAAACCAAAAATTTATAATAGACATAATTATTACGAAACTGATTATATTGAAACAACATTATATCAATCCACTTTAGCATTAAATTAAATTTTTTTTTATTTAATTTGTTAAAAATCTAACCTCGATTTCTTCTTAGAAGTCTTCAGAGATTTAAATTCCACACCATTATCAGTACAGGATATGGTGTTTCATCATTATTATTCTTCAAGTCATCATCATTATCACCATTGGCATCGTCATCATAATCACCACCACCACCATCATCACCGCCATCATCATCGCCATCATCATCGTCATTATCATCACCATCATCTTTACCAGTAATTTTGTTGCTGCTTTTGATGTGGTTGTTGTTTTGCTTGCTGATGTTGTTGGCGATGTTTTTATTTTTGTGTCCAAAGATTTTCTTATTTCTTGCATTTTTTTTGGTAGTTTGTTGATTTTTTGGTTTCTTCTTTTGATCTAAAAATAGATGCCACTACTATTTATAGTAATAATAATAATTATTATTATAATACTAATAATAATAATAAGAAATAATAATTATCTCTTTGGTGCTTAAATACAATGATGATGGCTGGTGATATGATAACGGTTGATAATGTTGATATCACCTGTGATATCATCATGAATGATATCTATTTTTCCATCTTTTTCATCTGCAGCCTTTTTTACCTTACTCATTACATCATCATCATCCTTAATATCATCGTCGTCGTCGTCATCTTCTGCATCCATAGCATCATAAGTTTTACTGTTTAAATGCGATTCTCTATCATTGTTCTGAAAAAAAAATTGATAGATGAATTAATATATATTATAATAATTTATTAATTCATTAACTCATTCGTTCATCTGTTCTGTTCATTCCTTCATTCTTTCATTCGTTTATTCATTCGTTCGTTCGTTCATTCATTCGTTCGTTCATTCATTCATTCATTAAATCATTCATTCATTCATCTACTCATTCTTTCAATGTACCTACATTTCGCGATATTTTTTCATTCCACTCTTCTTCGTTAAGCTTCAACTTTCTCTCCATCTCTTCATTCATCTGTTGCAACTTGTCATCCATCTTGTCAAATAACATCATCCTCATCATTGCCATCATTATCATAATACCAATCAACATCACCACCATCATCATCATCGCCATCACCATCATCATCATCGCCATCACTATCATCATCATCACCATCGTTAATCAATAAAGGCATAATGAAATATCCTTTACCCTTAGTCCATATACTTGAACTCTCGCTTTGAAACAAAAGCCCACAAGCAAATAAACGCATGCCAACACTTGGAAACACGCATCAATTTTTTAAAAATAACACTTCTGCGTGCTTACATGAAACCATCATGAACATCATCATTGACACCATCGTCATCATCATCATCACCACCATCATCATCGTCACCATCATAATCATTATCAGTAGTAGCAGCAACAGCAGCCAACCAATTTATTGTATTCTAATTGAAGCCTCCTGACATCATCAGCATGCCTGCTCTTCATCTGAGTGAGTTCATCATTGTTCGTTTCCATCATCAATCGTTTCTTATCATTTAAAGATCTCTGTTTATTACGATGTAATGATGACGTCATTTTAATGGCGTTATAATGATGATCATGATCGTCAGCCTCATCATCATCACCATCATCATTATCATCATCATGATCATCGTCATCGTCACCTTCAATACTTCCTCCTCCTCCTCCAACACCTTCATCACCATCTTCTTTTTCTCATCTGCCTCTTCCCTCATCTGCAACATCTCCAACTTGTGTCTTTTATCCAGCTCTTCCTGGAGATCCTTCAATTCCTAGTATGTGTATGTATGTATGTGTGTGTATGTCTGTTGGTGTCTGTCTGTCTGCCTGTTTGTGTATGTGTGTGTGTGTGTGTGTGTGCATTTGTTAGTCCGTTTTAAGGGGTTTGGAGGACCTGGTTAATTTTTTATTTGATTATTCCATATTAAAAAAGTTTTTTTCTACAATGTTTTCAATTAAAAGCAATGTTTTTAATTAAAATTTTCAGTGAAAACGCAGGAAAAATTAGCACCGTGAGTATTATTATAAGATACAAATAAGCTTCGTAAAAAATCGTAGTAGTTTAGATGTTATTGTGGATGGCCCTTTTTGTAGAAGCCATGGTGTAGTAGACCCTGTCCTTTCCGAACCATAGGTACACCAGTCAATCAACCAACCAATCAGCTAATCAATCAACCAATCAGCTAATCAACTAATCACCACCAATCAACCAACCAATCAGCTAATCAACTAATCACAACCAATCAACCGACCATAACATATCAACCAACCACAACCAATCAACTAACCATAACCAATCAACCAAACCAATCACAACCAATCAACCAACCACAACCAATCAACCAACTAATCACTAATCAGCTAATAAACCAATCACAATCAACCAACCAATCAATTATTCAACCAATCACAACCAACTAGAGCCAACCATCCAACCAATCAAAGACCTTCTCATGTTTATCCATGGAATCTTGCCTCAGTTGCTCCATCCTGTAGGCATGCAATCGCTCCATCTCTTCCAGCATGTCCTGAGTTTCACTCTCAAATTTCTCTCTTCTCTCTTCTAGAACTTTCGCTCGTCCCTTCGCGATGACGTCATCGTCGAAAATGCCGTCCGTTTTTAGTATTTTCGTAGCGCTGTCATTTGCGTTGTCGTGGTCAGTTCTGATGATGTTGTTTGCTGTGTTCCCTTTGTCGGAAGTTAACTTTTCGTTTGACGGTTTCGTGTTACTGGGATTATTATTATTATCAATACTTGAGTTATTTTTATCTTTCAAGTTATCATCATCATCAACAGCATCGTCATCTTTACTGTTATCATCATCTTCAGCACCATCACCATCATCATCATTAGAAGTGGTCTGCTTGCTAAGAGGTGCGCGTTTCAACCCATCTCGCCTTAACATACGTTCCTGAGTGATGATTCATTATTTTTTTTTTATTTTATTTTTATTCATTCAACAATTTATTCTATCTATGCTGACACGATGAGACAGTGTTGAGATATGAGATAAACATATGTTTATGACGTCATAATATAAATGATGACGCCAAACGCTATTTATATTTATTATGAAAACTGTAAGAGTTGAACTATAGCACTTGCACGTTATGTTGGGTTTAATAATTTAATAACTTCATTATATAATAATTTGCAATCAATATTTATCTGTTGAATCACAATCATCAACGTTCGTATCATTATCACCATCCATTTCATCATCAACATCAACATCACTATCATTACAATCTATATCATCAACATCATCCTCACCATCATCATCATCATCATCAACATTCATCAACATCCATCATCATCATCAACATTCATCAACATTCATCATCATCATCACCACCACCACCATCATCATCATCATCATGAAAACCAACATCCTTCATTGTTTCGAAGATGTCGTCATCAAGGGTCATACTGCCTAGGCCGTCCAGCAGCGAGTGGACACTGCCTGGTGGGACGATCTTCGAGGCATCGGCTGATGACGGGAGCCTGATGATGATAATGATTACGCGATGATGATGATGATTACATGATGAAGAGGGTGATGATTACATGATGATGATGGTGATGATGATGATGATTACGCGATGATGATGATTACATGATGATGATGATGATTACATGATGATGACGATATGATGGTGATGATCGCAACAACAAAACAACAACAACAGCAACATCATAACAACATTTCAAAGGAATTAAAAGTTTTTCCGGCTAATTTTTTTCTTTCTTCTGACGCTGAAAGCAACTTTTCGGCATATGACAATTGTTGTTGTTGTTGTTGCAAATGTTGTTGTTGCAAATGTTGTTGTTGTTGCGATTGCTGTTGTTGTTGTTGCGATTGTTGTTGTTGTTGTCGCGATTGTTGTTGTTGCTCGTTTATTTTAACGTTTTGTGTTGTTGGTTTGTTGACTCGAGCAGTGTCATTATCGTCTGCGGTTTTCATCTTGTTCAACATTTTGTTGGCATCGTTTGATGACGATGGCTCATAGTCCTTCAAAATGAATGAATGAATAAATGAATGAATGAACAATTGAATTTATCAAAAATCAATAATCGTACATTGTTTATATTGGATTATCGAAAATCCAAAAAAACAATTTGAAAATGAATCAACCTACAAAAAATGAATTTATCAACTAAATCAACAAATTGAAGCCAACCAACTATCTAACCAACCAACCAACCAACCAATCAACCAACCAACAAATTGAAAAATATCTACAATTCAAACAGCCAATCAGAGAATCAAACAGGCTATCAATCAACTAACCAGCTAACCAATAAACAATGAACAAACTCACGACCCACCCCTCTAAAAGTTCCAATAGGTGTCAGCAGCCCTTCAACACGAGCAGACAGCACTTCATCAATTAAATTCTTCAAAAAATGTACAAAAATTGCAAGTAAATTAACAAACATATGCGCAAACATCCCCATACACACTCACACACAAATAAACACACACACATACACACAGTTAAAATACAACGATATTTATTATGAAATTTGTCATTTACTTTCAGTTTAAAACAAAACTTGTAGAAATTATTAAAATGAAACTGAAATTTTGTTGTATTAATTATGGAGGAGAAGAGGACAACTATCAACCAATCCAAGATTTTTGATTATTTTCGTAAAAGTTGCGGATGAAGATTTTTGCCGTATAATTTTATTTTCATCGTCATTCAAGCTCTATTTGTTTATGTGTAAAATGAACAAATTAACAAAAACATACGCTAAATTCATTTCTGCGGAAGTAAACCTCAATAGACAATTATTAACAAAGGCGGATTTTTTAAAACACTAGAATGGGGCAAAAAAAAATCGAGCTTGTTCTAAATCTAATTTATTTAAGGGCCAAAAATGTCTTGTCGGCATCTGTGTATGTTTGGTTTGTACTGGGTGTGTGGGAGTCAAAAAAAATCTTTGATCCGACTCCGCCAAAAATCTCTGACTCCAATTTCATTACTCTGATTATAGAACAAGGACAAATATTGTAGAACTACCATCTTGTCGTCTTCGTCAGCACCATCCACATCGTCGTCGTCGTCGTCGTCTTCAGTTTCTGTCGATTTTTTGTCAACCTCACTAAGGCCTGACTGTGGATGTGGGGGAATTATTGTATAAAAAGATTTTAAAAAATAATGAATTGTATAATATTCGAGCAGCCGTGCGCTCGTCAAAACTGCATAAAAATAAGAGACAAATAAGAAAAATGAAACTGAAACTAAAACCAAAACCGAAACCTCGTATTCGAAACCGACGGACGATTGTCTGAACTTTTTCATTTTCAGTGAAAATTTTTCTTTCAGGTCCACCTCATCCTGTGTTGGAGGTTTATCGTGATGTAATGATGATATCAATGATGATACGTGGTGCATGATTATATTTGCCATCATCATCGTTAGCATCACCATCACCATTATTGTAATCGGTATAACTGTCATTGTTATTTATATCAGCAAATAAATTATCAAATAAATAAAGCAGCATTATAACTACTACTACTGCTACTACTACTACTACTAACAATAATAATAATAAGAAGAAGAATAAGAAATAAAAGAAGAAGAAGAAAAAGAAGAAGAAGAAGTAGAAGAAGAAGTAGAAGAAGAAGAAGAAAAAAAAGAAGTAGAAGAAGAAGAAACGGAAACAAACTTCGGAATCAAATCTCTTGAAGGAATTGATACTGGCCCCACCGAGACTCACGCGGCTGCCACTGAAGTTCAGTGAGCTGGATTTCATGGAACTGTGAGATCCGAGTAAGAAAGACTGCGTAAATGTGTTGTTGTTTGGTTGTTGTGGTTGTGTTGTGGTTGTGTTGTTGCTGTGTTGTTGTTGTTGTGGTTGTGTTGTGGTTGTGTTGTTGTTGATGTCGAAAACATCTGCAAAAACTTCAACATCAATAGTACCATAATCACCGAAAATGCTATTATTATTAATATTAATTTTAATTTGTTAAAATTATTTCGTAATTACTATTGTAATAGAATTATTAATTTATGATTTGTAGAATCATCATCGATATACATTTACACACGGCGCGTGTAAATAGGCGTAAATCCACGCATCACACGCACTGTATGTGATAAGTAGGAAAATGCTTGAATTCGAACCCGAGAACTGCATCAGCAGGAGCAGGAGACATAACCAGTACGCCATCTAACCATCCAACGTTAATTAACATCACGAAAAACATCAGCACCACGTAGACATAGATCACACCAATAAAACTAACATCAATGGTTCCCTTTAGATAGTTCTCAGCAGACATTTTCATGGAGGCATCAGTAGACAGCCGAAGGCCTGATTTGTCATCCCGCCTAATCGCCTCGCCTAACATTCCGGTCGATGGCTGTTGTTGGGTGGACCCCTAGAAATATAAAGCGATAATAAGGTATTACAGAATTAATGATAACAAAATATAATTTAATGAAATAATCAAATGATAATTAAATAGAAATATAATTAATGATGACGTAAATATTGATTGTGAATAATTAATAAGTGAGATAAGAGTTCATATTTTGAAATAGAAAATTAGGATATTAAAAAATATATCAATACGAATGACGACCATTGTGGAGTTCAGTGTTGTTGACAAAGCCTTCTTTAGATTCAACTTCGGAATTTCTATATCCTGATTTGTGGTGCTTGGCTGGAAATAAATTTGGAAAAAAAATTTTTAAATTTATAAAATTTTCAACAAAAAAAGAAAAAATATACTTGATGACCGTTACGTTATTAACTAAGTAACAATTGAACAGTATCTATTCGAACACGAAACGAAAACATGTTATATCGAAAATAACCTTTTTTTCAACAGCGCCAATTTTTTCTGAAGGTTAAAAAAAGTTAGCACTTGAAAAAAAATAAATAAAATTGATGAGATAATTTTTTCACTAACATCACCATCAGAGTCATCATCACTATTATTACAATCATCAGCAGAGTGGTAAAGTGGTTAAGATGCCTGGCAGAGATATTTCAATGACCGGGTTTAAATACAAAGAGATTCATTTCTGATTCACGCGTATTTAAATGCGCTGTACGTTTTCTGCTGGTACTTCTGAGAAATATTCAAGACAGAACATAAAAAATATTTTGAGTAAATTTTTTTCTCTTTCTTTTTTCTCTCTCTCTTTCTCTTCTGTGTAAATTTCTTGAATTGTTTGGCCACGTTACTATCACCATCATCATCATCATCATTTTCGACAAGAAACAATTTCTTGAAGAAATGTCATTTCTTACTCTCACTGATGACACAGCATTTGTGAATTTTTCGTTTACGTCACCACCATCATCATCATCATGATTGTCATCAAGAAATACTTTGAAGTAATTTTTTCCTCTCCCTGATCACGATCTTCTTAAATTGTTCATCACAAGGATGGTCCCAGATGCTCTGCCCCGTTTGAAAGTTGAAGTAATATATGGCTCCCTTGTCATCCTGGCTTATATTATAATTTTATAAATATTATTTTATAATATATTCATTATAATTATAACATAATTATAAATAATAATTTATGCAAATAAAAAATTGATTGACAATCAAGGTTTGGACACACCAGGGCTCCCAATGTTGGGGTAAAGGGGCAATGATACCCTCCCTTGCAATGTACAACAACTCTGGCTCGCTATCTGGGTTGATGCCAATGAACTTTGCATACTCTAAGATTTCTTGCAATAAAAGAAGAAAATAATTACAAAATTATTATTATAATAAAGATTTATAACTTCTATTATGTATAAAAATTAAATATAATGTTCACATAATAAAATAAACTTGAAGCAATAATTATACATGAATTTTTAATAAAATTAAATTATATTATAAAAAATTTTATTCAACTATTTTTTATTTAATTAACTTGTCTTCTTGTCATAAATTAGAAGAAAAAACTACCTTCTTCAGTAGGTTGGTAAGGTTCGTCGCTATCTTCATCCAATAACGACATTATTTTAATAATAAAAAAATAATTATAAATAATAATAAAATGCTACAAAAATGAATAAACTAAAATAAATAATTTTACAACTTATTCATTTTAAAAATTTAAAATTAAATGGACACAAAACAAACAAAGCCAGTACTACATGGCAACCATGAGCGTCGTAAGTAACAGCACTAAAAGTGAACTGTGTGATTATAAAATGCTCTAGCACATCATTTTCTACAAAAGTTGAAACAACCAATTCATGAAATAAGTTGACTTTCAGATTCTATAAACATTAACATTATCAAAACTATTACTTTTATCAATAGATTATCATTAATTGAAACTTTATCATTATCAAATTGCAATAAAAGTTTTTTGCTCATTGAAAAGAATTTATTAATTAACACACTTATCTCAAACATTATGTGCTTCGCGAAGTTTTAGCAGCGAACAAAGAATAAATTAATGAAGATTTATGAACTTTATGTAAACAGGTGTGAGCCGATAAATTTAAAATTAGTATTTTTTTGACTTTTAATAGCTAAACTTTTAAAAGGAATGTCATTTAATATACGATATACATGACCTTTGGCACGAGATGTTTGACGGATTCCAAGAATGTAGGTGGCTCGGCGCGAGCGATGGAATTTTTCTCTTCAAGCAGCAGCCTACGTCATTATGACGTCATAAAAATAAATAATTTTAATATTTCTTGTGGCGTATTATCAACCAACAATATACAGCTTAAGCACGATAAACATATTGTTTTTTAACAACTTTAATTTTAATTAATAACAAACGAACAATTTTAATTAATAATAAACGAATTATTTTTTGATAAATCCAAGAAAATGTCTCAACAATCAAAATTCATTTTCACTAATTTCAGTACAGCGACCCTTATATTTATACAAGTAAAACCGCAACCAGTCAAATTTTGTAATTAATAACGTCTCTGTTAACGTAAATAAAATAACCACCTGCAAACAAGCAATCTTTACACACACGCACGCACACATACACAACACATACCACAAACAAAAGCACACATACACAGACGTACATACGCTATGTTTATTTATTTTTGCGATTTATTGCCTAAAAAATAAATTGAATAAATCAATATATGAACGTGACGTTTGTAGAGAAAAGAGCTTGTTAAGTGAAGTTAGGTTAAAGTTAACACCGTGGCACCGATTATAATCTGCCTAATCTCAATTGACTTTCAAGTGTTAAAGCAGATCTCAGGTGCTCCTATGAAAAAATTTAAACTTGTTAATAATGTTTTAACGATCTATTTGTATATATGTTTATGCTTATGTGTGAATGCATGTCTGTATGTGTGTTTATAAACATTTAAATATGAATTTATATGTATGTGTTTGTGTGTGTATAGTTTTGTAGCTATTATATTGACATGTGCTGTTATAAATATGCGACGATAAACTCTAAAAAGGTTATTGAAATATTTTAAAAGCGTTTCTTAATTGAGAAAAATATACTAAAGTATATATTTGGAGTAGTTGATCGAATAATTATATAACTGGCTTAATTGTTGGATGTCAATTATTTGTGCATAAGTTTTGTTTTATTTTGTTTTTTAAATCTGGATTTGACCGAAAAGACAGCAGCTAAGGTTCGTTCAAAGCGATTTTTGTCATACAAAATTCGAGAAAACTTATTTACGATTGAATAAATTATTTATTATACTATTGAAAAGCATTTAAACGTTATAAATGTTTAGTTAATCTAATGTTTGTTCGTTGAATGAACTTATTACTAAAGCATATTAGGTTTGAAAACCAATTTTTATCACAAAACATTCAAATGATACATTATAGGTACATGATTATATTTAAATAAAATGATACATAAAGAATAATTAGTTTTGGGAGAAAATTGAAAAAACTGAATTAAACATTTTTTTTTCTCATAAATTTTTTCTTAAATAAATTGTATCGATGAAAAAAATTAGGCTGCTTCAAAAAACAACAACAAAAATCCGAATATAAAATTTATTTATTTAAAAAAGTAACAAACGCACCGGTGACAGAATTATTAATTTAATTATTATTTATTTATAAAATTAAATTTAAATGAACTGCAGTGACTGTACTTCGCTGACACGGCATCATGCAAAAATTAGGCGTCGAACTAAGCCTGCCTTATTGACGACAAATATTACATAAATACACATTTGCTTGAATGGACTGTGACATAACCTTTTAAAGATGTTATACGTAACGGTGTTTGTTTGCTTGTTTGCACTGACTCTAATGCATTGGTATTCATTAGCACGAGCGAGCAATGTGTGACGCGTCTGAAAGACAAACTTTGCTGTGAGAACTAGGCTGATGATCTGTAGCACGATGACGAATGTTCTGTGATGGATCTAGAGGAAATCGGGAGAGGCCCTAGCAAACATTTGCTTAATTTCTTGGCTAGCTCGTCAAATTTTCAAAATTTTAACTTTTTTTCTTATTTTGGTCCACTGTCAACCTTTTCTAGACCCACCACTGCAAATGTTGAAGACTACCTGATTTTTTTAATTGTCACGTATCAATTGATTACAGTAAAATAATATGATATGTTTAAAGTGATTTTTTAAACCTTTAATTGTGCTTTCAAATTGGACCCTTGACAAACACACAACATTCATGTATACACCTCATTACTATGATTGAATTACATCTTGTACTATAAACTATTGAAAATCACTAAAAATTGTTTTGAAATATACATGCAGACCTTTACAATATGAACAGGAGTTATTTATTATTCGTCAAATTTTTATCATGGCTTCTTTAAAAATTCGATTCAACGAATATGATGTAGGATTGAACGACCAACTTTAGAGCCAACTTTCACTATTTTATCCACTTTTACAATACCAAATCGACACTTCAGAATAAATAAAATAATTAAAAATTTATGAATAATTCATAACAATTGAAATTAATTTGAATATATTGGCGGCGGATGAATGATAGGGTAAAGTTTAACAGAAAAATGTTGCTAAAAAATATGAAACATTGAGATTGCAAGAATTTGTAAGAAAAAAAATTTAAAAATGTTTTAAATAATAAAAAAGGGTAAACTATTTAACATAATTCATCAAATCTTCTGTTTAATACATTTCAATGTATAAATTTATTGACAGCATAAGTCTAAAAAGTGTTCCGTCAGGATCATCCCACCACAAATTGTAAAATAAAGAGAGAAACACATTGTTCTATTTTTACGGATGCCCGCTTTCAACATACATGTTAAGTTTAGCCAACATTTAGTAATAAATATATTGAAAGTTTATTGATAAAACAACTTATCCGAATATATAAAATGCATTGTTTTAAATAGAGAATTGGGAAAAAAACTAAGCAAAATGCTGCATAAAAAGGAAAGTTTTTTTTATAGCAAATGGAGCCCTATTAAAGTTTTTTGGGGTATTTGCCCCCCGTCCGGATTTTCTTCCACCCCCTTCAAAGTCGGAGATAGCTAACCATATAACACCTACACTTCACAGAGTCACGAGCAAAATTTATCTATTTATTTCATTATGTTTATTTATTTATTAATTCGTTATTTACGTTTCAAATCCACGCAATGTGACGCAAACACTCGAGAAACATGCACTCTCCATCAAGTGTTCCTTCATTGAAGTTAACACTTGAAAAAACATTTTATAACTCTGAAGATGAATTTCTGCCGAATTTTCAATAAATCAAAATTTTATCAATTTATAATAATTTTATTATAAATAAATAAATTTAAATCTGATAGAAAATTTATTTTATACATAAATACACACGATCATGATCTGACCTGAATGAATATTAAGAGATTATAAATATCACCGAACAATTATTAATAAGGCATTAAATTTACGTGTTGGTGTGTTTGTTGACCTAACCTACATTTTGCAAAATTGTTTGATAAAATAACCTGCTACATACCTTCTCATATGTCTGATACGTTAAATGTTATATTATACTATGCCATAAATGTGTTATATTCTAGAGGTGAATAGAGTTGGATTCTTGATATATTAAAGAGTTATTCGTGTTATATTTTGATCATTTGTTCGTAGACAAATTTAAAAGAGTACGGTTTGTTTCATTTTAATCAGTTTAACCTATTTTATTAATGAACTTCTATTCAATTAATTTCAATTCAAAATATTGTCATAAAGTAGAATTTTATATTAACGTTATAATTATGAGTTATTTATTTTTTTACATTAACTTTTTTATAGGATGAGTTTTAAATCCAAATACTTCTTTTCTTGTCCAATTTTAAGCCTCCTTTTCTTTAAAGCAAATCGATGCTAATAGTAACGTTGGCAGTACTTTTAGTAGTAAAAGTAGCATTCGTTAAAATTTACAGATTTGATGTAAAACTGTTAGTAAGAAGTCCTAAAAAAAAATCATACTCGTAGCACTGACTAGAGGAATATATTCGTAGAAATAACCTAACCACTGTGTCACACAGCATGAAATGTGAAAAATTATATAAAAATTATTTTTAACTAAAAATGGATGATATGATTAAACGTTCTAAAAACTTTGTATAAAAAAAGACGGATCGTTTAGAGATTGAACAACCTGTTGTACTTGACGAACAATTGAGAGCATTTAAACTAAGTCGTTTTGATTGAAGCATTTAAGTACGCGATACTATCTTATACAAGTTCAATCATTATTTCGTCATTTCTTGAAACATTTAGTGAAAATTATTTTCCCACCGATTTTGAAGATTCATCGTATTAAAGTTGGTTCCAAGTAAAATATTTCATTTCACGTTGGTTTCTGCTTAGGTTATTTGAGCTACAGTAAATGAATATTAAGTTTTATTATTCAGTTGTGCTGTCATTATATCTTTTAATTTATTTTCAGTTTTGTGTCCTTTATCTTATTAAAATTATTAAAATTATTTGAGTTTAAAATTTTGCAGTTAAATGTTTTTTGACTTTTTGAAATATGATTCATCAAAATTAATTTGAATAACATGAATTTTCAAAA